CATTCTCGTTTAATTAGATGCAATTGTATCATATTAGTGTGCCATAGTTCAAAATCAATGTTCATAAACAATTCTTAATTCAAATCATGATTCTTTGACAATGAAGATTTATTCCGGAGAATCGAATGGAAAATAAGGATTCATGTGGCTAATCCACTCATTTTGAGTTCTCAAATGAGGTTAGGTCAATCCCACATCGAGTTTCGAGGGCAAAAAAGGGTTTCTAGGCTGTTTAGGGTCGATTTCAGTGGGAACCGGTTGACCGGTGACAGAGTAGTGTAACTCCACCGATCAGCTGGTGGAGAGGTGACCGATCGACTGGATCGATCGACCTATGGAAGGGTGACCGGTCAATCGGTGGGGAAAAATTCCAGGGCCAACAATGGCCGATTCGCGAGGAACAAAGCCAAAACCTGCAAATTTTGGGTCCGCTTTCGACATATTCTCAAGGGAAATGTATAGATCCAGTTTCAAATCAATAAAGGGGGTCCAAAGAATCAAAAACCCCCAATTTTCATCAAGGCTAAATCCCATTCGGATTCCATTTGAAAACAAAAATTTAAACCAAAAATCACCAAACTCGACTAAAACGAGTTCCATAAAGCTAAATCCGAAAATCTAAAGTAAGTTTCAAAGAGTTTTACCTCGATCCAAGCTTTGATGTTGAAAACCTCTTGGAAACCTCCGTTTTTGGTTTAAATCCAGCCCTTGAGAAGGAAAACTTTGAGAGAGAGAGAGAGGGAGAAATGAACGGGAGAGGAAGAGAGAGAGAGAGAGAGCTTGAGATAAAGAGAGTGAGAGAGTGTGAGGGAGAGAGCTCGGGAGATCAAGAGAGGAAGAGAGAGAGTAATGTGAGGAAGGGAGAGGAAAAAGAAATAAGGAAAAAAAGGAAAGGAGAAATAGAAGGAAAAGAAAATGGGGAAAAATATTAAGGAAAAATAAATAAAACAAATAGGAGTGAAATTGTAAATACTAAGAATAAATTTAAAAGTTTATGATTAATTAAGAAAATCAATTTAGGCACACTAATAAACCACAATTATCATAATTAAACAAGTTTAATTCCGGAGGGCATTACATTCTACCCCCTTAAGAAATTTCGTCCCTGAAATTGAAATTTACCTCACGATATGAACATATACGGATATCGTTCCTGCATTATCGTTTCTAATTTCCACGTTGCTTCCTCAATGCCATGGTGTTGCCACAACACCTTCACTAACGGTATCTCACGTCGACGTAGGCTTTTCATCTTCCGGTCAAGAATCTGTACGGGTGCTTCCTCGTAAGTCGTGTCATACTAGATCGGCACGTCATACCATTGCACAATAGCTTCTGGATTAGGTTGACACTTTCAAAGCATTGAAACATGAAACACATTATACACGTGAGACAATTCCGGAGGAAGATCAAGGCGGTAAGCAACGGCACCTACTCGTTGTGTGATCTGAAATGGCCCGATGTACCTCGGTGTGAGCTTCCCTTTCACACCAAAACGAGTAATTCCTTTGCGCGGTGAGACTCTTAACAAGACAAAATCACCCTCTGAGAACTCTAAGGGTCTACGCCTCCTGTCAACATAACTCTTCTGACGACTCTGAGCCATTAACAGTCGTTCTCGAACCACAACTATTTTCTCATCATTCTCCTGGATAACATCTGGTCCAAGGGTCAGTCGATCTTCTGACTCAAGCCAACAAACTGGTGATCTGCAAGGTCTGTCATACAACGCCTCGAATGGTGCCATCCCAATGCTACTCTGATAACTATTGTTGTAGGCGAACTCAGCTAAATGGAGATACTTCTTCCAGTTTCCACCAAAATCTAGAATGCAAGCATGAAGCATGTCCTCCAAAATCTGAATAACTCTCTCAGATTGTTCGTCGGTCTGAGGATGAAATACGGTGCTGAAATTCAGTTCAGTTCCCATGGCTTCTTGGAAACTTCTCCAATATCTAGCGTTGAAACGAGTGTCACGATCCGATGTGATAGACAACGGAACTTCGTGAAGTCTGACAACGTGCTCCAGATACAACTCTGCTAGAACCTTCCTGGAATAAGTCGCACGAAAGGGAATGAAGTGCGCGGACTTCGTTAACCTATCCACAACAACCCATACGGCATCATGTCGATGTTCAGTCCTCGGCAATCCCATCAGAAAATCCATCGTAATGTGTTCCCACTTCCAAACCGGGGTTAGTGACGTGGAGGCTCGTTTAGAAACTTAAACCTGTTTGAGAGAGAGATTAGCAAATATTTCAAATCCAAAACATCCAGGTATTTCTAAACGAGCCCCTTTTATTCAGGAGAAATTAAATTTCAAGAACGGTGGTAAAATTTCCAACCAAACCAGTTTAAAATCACGTCCCTAGTACCAAGTCAGGAATTCCCACAGGTGTTTAGCATACATGAATATAAACAAAAGTGAATGTGACATCAACCACAGTCTAGTAATATTTAAGTTTACAATCCATAATTCTTTATACATGCCTTGAAATAAAAGATAAGAGGGAAGACAACTCTTCACTTCCCGAGGTCAAGTCCACGTCACCGGTAGTAGCTACATACTCCGCACTATTCCTCGCGTCTCCTGGAGGGGTTTAATACATTTGAAAATAAGAAAGGTGAGCGAAAGGCCCAGTAGGATATAATTTTATAAAGCATTTAAAATAAAGGTACTCACGGTCCGAAGATATACACCCGGAACCGATCATCCTTTTTTTTAGAAAAAGAAATACTCACAGTATAAAATATCTGTATAATGAAAGTGTGCAGCTCATCATACCACTAAACAAGAAGCGGTAAAAATATTTGTCTATGAAAAGTGCAGAGCCATAATTCCACTAAACAAGAAGTGGATCCGTACGGGTTTCGGGACCTACCCCCAAGGATGCGATTCCCACATCCCGATCTCTGAGGCCATTATGCGTTGTATCATTCCTTAAATATTTCATTTTAAGGAATGATACTCTTTAAAATCTCATTTTCAAAATCATTGGAAAACTTAATGGCATTCTCATGCTATTTCTTTAAAAAACATTTTCTTTAATCATGTTTTGTTCTAAAATATTTTCATTGGCTAAAACTATTTAAAGTGAGGCTAACAAGGATATGGACAAGAATATCCTACCTTTTGGATATCAAACCTGGTTTAGCTTTTCATTCTCCTAGCCTCCACTTTCCTTTGAGGCTCCAATTCCAATCGTGCCACTAACTTTCCCATCAAAATCAACAATTTAGAGTTTGACCTTTCTCATTAAATATTCTCGTTTAATTAGATGCAATTGTATCATATTAGTGTGCCATAGTTCAAAATCAATATTCATAAACAATTCTTAATTCAAATCATGATTCTTTGACAATGAAGATTTATTCCGGAGAATCGAATGGAAAATAAGGATTCATGTGGCTAATCCACTCATTTTGAGTTATCAAATGAGGTTAGGTCAATCCCACATCGAGTTTCGGGGTCAAAACAAGGTTTCTAGGCTGTTTAGAGTCGGTTTCAGGGGGAACCGGTCGACCGGTGACAGAGGAGTGTAACTCCACCGGTCAGCCGGTGGAGAGTTGACTGGTCGACCGGATCAGTCGACCTATGGAAGGGTGACCGGTCGACCGGACCGGTCAACCGGTGGGGAAAAATTCCAAGGCCAACAATGGCCGATTCGCGAGGAACAAAGCCAAAACCTGTAAATTTTGGGTCCGCTTTCGACATATTCTCAAGAGAAATGTATAGATCTAGTTTCAAATCAATAAAGGGGGTCCAAAGAATCAAAAACTCCCAATTTTCATCAAGGTTTGACCAAATCCCATTCGGATTCCATTTGAAAACAAAAATTTAAACCAAAAATCACCAAACTGGACTAAAACGAGTTCCACAAAGCTAAATCCAAAAATCTAAAGTAAGTTTCAAAGAGTTTTACCTCGATCCAAGCTTTGATGTTGAAAACCTCTTGGAAACCTCCGTTTTTGGTTTAAATCCAGCCCTTGAGAAGGAAAACAAATAGGGGTGAAATTACAAATACTAAGAATAAATTTAAAAGTTCATGATTAATTAAGAAAATCAATTTAGGCACACTAATAAACCACAATTATCATAATTAAACAAGTTTAATTCCGGAGGGCATTACAATTATTAGCTATGAATCAATGGGCTTATTTGGTTCAACAATTCAAACCGTGAATATTTGAATCTTTTTTGTTAGAACTGTAAAATCTGAATTGTGATGATTCAAATTGTGATTTGAATTATTGTTTGGATATGCAAAGAAATTGTAATTTAAATTGAGAATAAAATTCGAACTGTATTTGGATAAAGTGTTAAAAACTGTCATTTAGAGTTTTGTAACGAATTTTATAAAACTCTATTATAAAAGACGTTAAAAAAAATGCAATATGGATGATGATTTATTCCTATCTTCATTATAAACACATTAAAAAAATATCTCAATAAGAAATAAAACAAAATGTTATTACATTTTTAAGATTAAAATTGAAGAGAGAGAAAAAGTAAAATCTGTAACTATTTGATTCTTAACAACAATTCGGATTGTTAGAATTTAAGATGGAGGTGAATTCTAAAATCAACAATTTGAGTTGTCCTTAAACCATTGTTAACGGTTTGAGTCATCCTTGAATTTTCTTCTCCTAAACATCAATTTGAATCATGAATTAAGATTTGAATCCTAAATAATTGTTTAAGTAATTAAAACAAATAGAGGTGAAAAAAATTCAATGAATTGAATAGTGATTATGCACGAGTGCTTCCAAATTTCAACTATTTTTCTCATGCTCTTTAAACATATAACAAATTTTAAATAATAAAGTTTAAATATAATAATAATTTTTAAAACAGTCAATCATAATAAGTTTTGATATCATTAAAATAATTACATAAGTAAAAAATGTGACATCTGGTCATTATTAAATTATTTTTGCTATATTTGCAAGATTCAAAAAATTTTGCTAAATTTTAGTTCACGGTATAAAATTTTGTTATAATTAGTATAAAAAATTATGATATGATACATTATTTTTATTTGTACTCTAATGCATAATGCTATTTAAAATGCTAAATATCATTTTTTTCATAATTATTAAATTTTAAAAGTTATAAAAGTAAACTTTTATTTTTTAAAAATAATTAAAAAATATGAAAGTTGCAACAATTACGTAAAAAAATAAACATTTTAATCAATAACAATTAAATATTAAAATTATTATATATTATATTTAGTGGTAAATACAACAAATAACATTATATTATTAGAGCGTGTGTTTTTTATTTTTTGGTACAAAAATTATATTGCATCTTCAATGCTCTCATCTCTATTTTTGTCGAAACCAGTCTTTGGGCCTCCTAGGCCCAATTATGTAGGGAACTGATACCTACTCGGCCCATTACCACCTTAAACTGGAGATGTCTTTACGAGTCACGACAGAAAGCCTGAAAATTTCCTAATTTCTATTTTCTAGATACCAGAAATTGAAATTATCGAGAAAAAGAAAAAAGCGAAAATCCTTTGGGACAGCGACACCGTACGACGACCCACAGAATCAACTCCGTGCAACCCACTCATCAAACCCTAATTCTCAAATTCCCAATCCCTGATCTTCCCCAATTTCGCTATCGGAAAAAATGGCAACATAGTTTCCTCGCAATCTCGGAACCAGTCTTCTCTCCAATTCGCCTCGTTGTGATCGCTTTCTCCGCTCTCCACTCAGCTCAGCTCTCGCTATTCGAACAGTGTCGGATTTTCCGTCGCTTGATCGGCTTGCGAATTCGTTTCTAGGGGTAAGTAATCTGTTTGTTTGAATTTCTTCTGCTTTCCCAGGGTTTCAATTTCGTCCTTTTCGGACCGTTTATGCTCAATTAGTCAGATTTGTATCGATAATGTGTTTTCTATTATCTGTTTGGTTGCCTATAAAATTTGGGATAGCGTGGAACTCGATTTCTGCTCAATCAGGTTTTCATTTGAGAAAAGGGAAAAACATTTGGTTTTTGTGGGGGTACTGGTGCAGAAAGTTGAGTGAATTTTTATAAGAAAAGGTTTTGGTTATAACTTTGGTTTTGTCATATTATAGTTCAAAGTAAACAATCAGAATTGTGGATGTTTGATTTTCTTTAGTTTTCTGCTTAAGTTCGATATGTAGTTTTGGTAATTTTCTTGGACTGTAAATGATGCAAGTAGTGTTGATGTTTAGGATGATTTGAGGGTCTTCTGAAGGTGGTTGAATAATGGGAAGCAGCGAGATGGATAAACCAGCTAAAGATAAAGAAAAAGATTCGAAGACCATGCCGACTAGTACACAGGTTTACTTGTGTTTTTCTTGCTAAATTTATCATCATAAGTTTGAGCAGATACTTTTATCTGGGCAGTGATGCAAGTAGTGTTGATGTTTAGGATGATTTGAGGGTCTTCTGAAGGTGGTTGAATAATGGGAAGCAGCGAGATGGATAAACCAGCTAAAGATAAAGAAAAAGATTCGAAGACCATGCCGACTAGTACACAGGTTTACTTGTGTTTTTCTTGCTAAATTTATCATCATAAGTTTGAGCAGATACTTTTATCTGGGCAGTTGCTAAAAAGTCTTCCTTTTTTTTTTTTTTTTTTTTTTTTCGTTTTTTAGGAAAAAATTTTCAAAACTAGGGCCGGGGCCTT